ATATTTATTTTTTTTATTTTTCAATACCGTAGTTGGCATTCAAATTTTATTTTTAACTTTCAATTCGGTATTTGGGATAAAAATTTTTTTTAATTTTATTTAATTCGTGGTTTCGCGTCCAAATATTTCAATTTCAACATTTTTTGACACAATTTTCTGCCCATCACTGTCTTGCGTACAGGTATTACGGCCACTAATGCGTATTCGTGTGATATTTATTTTAGCAACAAAAAAGGTATAATAGAAAAAACAAAACAAAAAACAAAAAAAAAAATTTTGCATAGCAAAATACACGATTTCTAAAATGTGTGTTGAATGAATTTGCATATACTATATTTGTATATATGTCTGTAGGTACTCTCATTTGTATAATAAATAGAACACGTAAAAGTACTTACCTTTAAATTTGCACAGCAACTATATACACAATAATATGTATATAATTGATTGTCTGTATATTGGAGAATTGTGTAATTTCACTCGATTTTATTTGCCTTATCGGTAGTTGAAAGTCAAGCGAGTTGATCACTAGCGCGTATTAAACTAAATAAATCATTTATGGTTGTTGACAGGATGCACACATGCGAGTAATTTCTGCTTATTACCTCTCAATATTTCAGATTACTGTTCCAATAGTCAATGCCAATATTTGCGTATTCCGTCTGTGACTATTATCTGCACTTGTATATTTGTGAAATGTTTCTTTATATACGTTTTTATCAACTCGATTTAAAGGCGCTTCAGTTATGGTAAACTGCTTTTGCAATAACCTTATTTGCTGAAGGGCGACACCAACAGACGTTCATATAAAACAGTATAATTGAAAATAATTTTACTATCCTCTCAGCTTTCTTTAATAAATATTGCAATATTAAAAATTTCTTTACTAAAAAACGCACTTTTCTTGAATCACTAAACAATACTTATGTGTTCTTCAAGGTATTGTCGTCCTTCTTTAAATGATGTGTCAAATTGTCGACGCGCTTTTTATATTTCAAAAATTTCGAATGAAACAAAAAGCAATAAAAAATGGGAAATAATAAGTATTAAACGAAATGTAGTATGTTCTTAAAATGAAGCATGGGACTGACAGATAATATACATATGAACGTGTCTCGTTGATAGTCCTCTTTTATATACAAAATTATACTACATTGCTATAAATATATGTACATACGCACTTACATATACAGTATTTAAACGCAAGTCAACAAGATCACAGAGCTTCAGATTCATGTGACTCCACAGAAACGTCGGAATGAAAACAACGCGCGAAAAAAGCGCAACAAAACGAAAATGTGGGATGGCCAAGAAGATCTGTTGAAAAAATAAATATTCTCTTGCATATAGATTTCTGGTACAAATGTATTTTTTTTTTTATTGTTTTTAAATTTTCCATTTGCTTTTGACGCACACACCCATCCGCCCACCCAATTTTGTCGTACATGTGCAGTTATTGGAATATTTTGCGAAAAACAAATTTTTTTTAAGTCATATTGAAACGTTACTTCTACACTAGAGAACCCTTGGCCACAGGAAAATACAACCGACTGCAAAGTGAATGCTACTTTTGCTGTTTGATTAATACTACTAAAGCACGTAATTCTGAGCGTTTAGATACTCATCTTATAGGCTGATCCACTAGACTGTTATGTGCGTGTGATATATTGTAGATTATTCTTCTTTTTTATTTTCTTCTTTAGTTTGGCATTGCTTAATTTGAATATAGTTTTTTTTTTTTTTTTGTTTTCTGTAGTTAAATTAGAGCATTTTTTTGAGGTAACCATGTTTCATCAATATTTTGCAAATTTTAGTCGATTAGCGGTGGGCAGGTGGATAGGTTGGGCGTACAAACATTGAAATCTCAAGTGCCTATTCATTCTCAAGATATTGAAATATAATTTTTTTATGTAACTTAATTATTTTAAATTCTTAAATCAGTCCTTATAGAAATAAATAATGAGAGTACTATAATTTATATATATTTTTTTAATTTTTAAAAGTAGTATCTCAGAAAAATAATATTATATTAAAGTTTATCGTGATTAAGTACTCATTAAAAGTTAACTAGTGTAATATAAAATATGATATGTATAAAATACATATGCGTGGTGTTTTGGTTTCTTTTAAAAATCTATGTATAACTTGCAGTTTTTCCTGGTCGTGCGGTGAGGGCGTTCTGTATCAACTGGAAGAAGTGAAGGGGCAAAGTCCGGCTCATAAGGCGGGTAAGATAAAACTTCCCTGCCACGCTCTTTCAAATAGTTTTCAACTTGCAACATGAGGCCGAACGTTGCATGATGGAAAATTATTGCGTCATGTCTAGTCGCAAATTTAAGACGCTTTTCGGCAATCGCTCACTACAATTTGATGAATTATTGTGGATAGCGTAAGGTTTTAGAAACTAATAGTAGAGCATGCCCTTCTGATCTCACCAAATATCGATCATTACCTTGGCGTCAAGAATATTCGGCTTTGCCATTGTTTTGGCTCGATGAACAGGTTTCACAAATGATTTTTTGAGATCATGGCTGTCGTAGTGGATCCATTTTCATCACCAGTCACAATCCGAAGCAAAAACGAACTTATTTTTGCTGCGTTCAAGCAGCGTTTCTAACGTCAAAATCGACTTTCAACGTCTCTTGCCTTCAATTCATGTGTCACCGAACTGCTTTTAAACGTTTTGAATTGGCCGCTTAAGAGACTTCCAAATACTTTGCGGGCCCTTCTTGTATTTGGCAATAATTTTGTTAGAGTAATGCAAGAATATTCTTTATCTTTCAGACCACTTTTTCCATAATCGTTCAACTAGAACAAATTCACCATCTACCAAAATACTATAGTTTATTTAGAATAGAATTATTTGAGGATACGAAAGTGGTCACATATTTTTATCTATTTCATAATTTCTTATTTATTTTTTTTCTAGAAACCACTTTGGTTAGAAATCGGAGAATATATTCAATCTTTACATTATGAAGAAGTTTAGCTGAAAAGTTTTAAGTCTTGCTTAATCTTTATATGAAAAGATAATTTACAAAAAAAAAAAAAAAACAATTCGTCTCGCTAACTTTCTTGTTCGTCTACATCAAATTTCGATTATTTTGGAACTTTGCAATATACTGTAAAAACAGTGCTAAGACAAGCCCCTAATTAATTAATTAATAATAATTGCCAATTGTGAATAACAAATATCTAAAGTCGTGTGTTGTGACCAAATACAAAAATATGAATGAAGAGTTGATAATCCTCCGTTTTCGAAGTTTTTTGTTCAGACTTATATTACATGCGGTTATCTATACTTTACACATGTATGTGTAGTACATGCATATACTCATACCCAAACATACTCACGTATTTATTGTGCATTCATGACAATAAATTAAGTCAACTTGACCATAGCGAGGTAAATATTATTGTATTTTGACTCTCGTAATCAGCTGATTATTCACGCCCCTTCATTTCTGTCCACATATCAAAAGCCCACACTCACATATACATGCACACCAACATATTTGCATTTGTACTAGACGAGCCCATCAGTTTCCACCAATAAGATTTTGCTCAGTTGCTTGTTGTTATAGTGTTTTATTTTAGTTTTTAGTAAATATGCGTATATTATTAACCCCTTTATTATTAAATATATGTAAATACCTGCAATCTTAGACGGTAACAGGAAGCGATATAGTGCTGCGATTTTTTGTTATTTTAAAAATTACTGTTGGACTTTTGGATTATTTAGGCTATAATTTCAAAACAAATACGCTTGATTGAGGACATCATCCTCCATAATGGTTGATTTCATACAGTACACATATACATTCTTAGTCACTATATAATATGTATGTACATATAAAAAAATTATTTTGTATATTTATTTTACGGGTAACATTTATTTATCAGCTGGACTATGATCAGCGTTTGTACGTGCCCCCAGCAAAAGGCATCACAGCCCATTGCGATTATACTCAAAATTCATATACCATATACAGCGTATGTTTGGGAAATTTTATTCAAGAGATTTAAAAAGAAGTGCATATGTATGCATATATACTATATAGTGTAAAAATATATATTTGGTATAGGATACGTCTTCTTTTGTTCATTGAATACCTTTGACATTAACTAACCGTTTGAGTTGGTATGACATTTTCCAAAAACGTCAATTCCATATAATTAGGACGTATCGCTGTTGAAATTCTGACTCGTTACCTTGAAAATAGATAGGTTAACTCAACATGCATATCGTCGATTATTTATACTCTCGGGCGTCATAATTTAAATGATGAAATAATAATCATATTTCATCTGATTAAATTTGGCCCGGAATGGCGCTCTAAAAATTAGTCAAAACCGAAAAAAAACCAAATTTACTGAACGGTCAATATTAATCTGGAAGAACTTCCGTTTCTACTGCGTAAACAGTTTTTATTATTAATTCAACTGCGTCTTTATATATTACTTTTTTATATTTTTCAAATAAAAATCAAATTTTATTTAATAGGTAAAAAAATTCCAAAAAATACAGCGATAAATGTAGAGCTCCGACATAATTTTTCCAATAGTCAATTACATGCTTGCAAAAAATCTATACAATTTTATAATAAACCCTGACCCGCAAGAATATTCCGATCGATTAACGTAGTCCTTGTACACTACTGTACTATTAAGCATATACCAACAAACATAAACATGTACATTTGACTTCAATAGATTCATTCTATATGTAGCGTTCACTTTACAAACCCTTATCTTCAAGTTTTTTTCCAGAATGAACCGAATTTTATTGATAATATTTTTTGCCAATTAACTTTGTCAAAAATTTTTTAAGGCCAGTTCATCGGATCACATCATACACAAAATACTATACATTCAATTATCATCCATTGTTATCAGCAGTCGTGTGTCTTAAGTAGCCTTAGAAATATGAGGCTTTTGAATTGTTAAAATATAAAAGTTGCAATGAGCTTTGATCTTTAAAAGCAGATCCCATAATTTGATTGTATTTACATATATAGTATATTCCATCAATAGCCGTGCCGCTGTTAACCTGGGACCCCAGCGATTTCAAAAAATCATGCTATGGGGCCAGCAGTCCTTCTCAACGAACACAATTCATTTGATTTAATCAGCGCCGGCCGCACGTGCGATTAATTAATCTGGATATTTTTAATTAGAACTTCTTTAATCATAAATGAAAAAGTACTATTATATATTTGAATTTGGGAATGAAGTACCACTATAGTTGTATCATCTTTTATGATATTTTTATTTTCTCACCTACCAGTGTTTAAATTCATTCATTTTAAATTTTAGTATGATATTTAAAAAATATGAAAAAAAAAAATAATTTTTCAAATTTCGTACTGGGTGTGCCCCTTAGAGATTCAGCAATAAGGAGATAGTGCCGTCAACTTTTTACGGGGCCAGTTTTTTTCAAAACTTTTGAAACGTTCGAATTGTGACCTTCATGAAAATCATGTGAGTTTCGCAGACTAACTAATTGTACATCTTTTTATTATGTTTTCAAATAAAGACTCATAGAGTAGCAAAAATAATATCCCGCCCATATCCCATACCAGGCCTTTTAGGATACCACTTATCGCCAAAATATCTAAATTTTCCTCTCTGCAGTTAGTTCGGGGTAAAAGTATCCATGCTACAGTTTAAATAACGGTGCCAGTTAGCGTTTTCTTCAAAGCAGTATGGCCCGACAATACACCTTGATGGAACTGTACACGGCCTAATGGCTAGTTCTGGGTCGTCCTGGTTGGATTATTTCTCGTGGATTATTTCTGGATTTGATTCACTCCATATACCCCAATTTTGCTTGTTTACATTTCCAATTAAATCAAAATAGACCTCATCAGACATGAACAGGCTTTTTATCAAGTTATTGTCTTCTTCGGCTATTTTAATAAATGTTTGGCAAAATTCCAGACGAATAGGCAAATCCAGAGGGTTTAACCAGCTTATTATTTGAACTTTATATGGAAGCAGCTACTTTAAGTCGTCGTGAATTATCCGTTGTAATGGCCGTCTGCTAACTCCAAGATGCGCCGATAAGTTGCATGTCGAAACTCTAGAATTTGCCTGAATTGATGATGTACCAGCTGCTATTCTTTCTTGAACACGAACGTTCGGATCTTGATACTTCCAGATCTGGCAAACATGTTTACCAACCTTATAATGGTCCATCTACTCGAAGAGTGCCGGTGAAATCCCGTCTGAATTCCCTTTAGACGGAAATGACGAACTGCAAAATATGGTTCTGCTGCACTAACCAAACCGCTTTTCAGTATCCCAATCATTCATTTTAAAAATTAAGGTTTGTTTTTGTACCACGATTCGTGCGCCATCCTGCATTAAGCTCTGTGCACTACTTTGTTAATGTATAAAAAATACACACCCTAATATAAAAATATATATTTAACTATAATATTACATGACTGTGAGCCTTGGGCTTTAAACTCGACCGCAGCAAAGTAAGTGATAACATTAACTATCTGAATGTTGTTGCAATTGTTGTTGTGCGTACATTGCCAAATGATCTATGACGTGCAGCATCGAATCTAACGATGCTAACGAAGTATAAGTTGTAGGGGGCGATATTTTTAGGAACGTTGATAAGATGACCCTTGATCTTCCGGGAATATACTTGACAGATGACCTTGAACGTCTTTGTATATGAGTATACATAAATACTGATTTACAAAATGTAACAGTATCATCACTATATTTCACATCAAAATTGTGTTTTAATCTTGACGAATCGTAAAGTCTCAACCCAGTTCTTCATTGTTTCAATTTATTATTATTTCCATGGAGGACTTATTCATCCTAAGTTGTGTATCAAAATATACTTGTCCTTTCTTGAACAAAGCTACTCTGTTTTCAAGTGTCTGCGCAATAAATTAGGAACTTAATTGTCGCTTCATGGAGTGTGTTCTCTTCCATCCGGACAACATGACGTAGCCAGTGCAGCCACTGTTTCTGGATTCGCTGAACTATTTCCATTTCGCCGTATATTCCGTACAGCTCGTCGTTCCATTGACTGCGGTACTGTCCTTTACCAATGCGCAAAGACCATAAATCTTGCCCAAAACCTTTCTTTTAAACACTTCTAACACCGACTCGTCAGATGATGCCATTGTCCATGATTCCGAATCATATATCAGGACGGGAATGATGAGGGACTGTCATTTCGTCCTTCTCTTTCTTTAGGGCATGAGACTAAGTAAGCCTTTTTCCCACCACGAATCCTAAACCGAATTTGCGCTTCTTTACTATATGGCCGCTGTAACAAATATTACAAGGATGTACTCATCTTCGTCCTTCTCCCGTTTTGACGGCGGTGATGTCAGCCTTTACTTATTTCGAGGACACCAACCAGCTTGAATCATATATCAGGACGGGAACGATGAGGGACTGTCAAATCGTCCTTCTCTTCCTTTGGGGCGTGAGAATTTGCGCCCCTTTACTATATGGCCGCTGTAACAAATATTACAAGGATGTACTCATTTTCGTCCTTGTCCCGTTTTGACCGCGGTGATGTCAGCCTTTATTTATTTCGAGGACATCAATCAGATTGACATCGGCCCCTTCCCAATTTAGACTCCGGGCGTTCCAGGTACCTGCCCTTGAATCATAGTTTTTACTACGCTTGCTGTGGTCGGCATCAAAAGTAGGGTCTTTCATCCAATGCTAATGTTTCTTTTTCATTGGACGCATTTATGTAGCGAGTCGCATGACACTGCAATTAGACTTCAGCGTACCCTTAAAGCGAATATGTCAAAGTGAGTCGGCTGAAGCTTCCTCTAGCTTAGTCGTGACCATGGTCTGCACTCCGGTTGGCTACCCCGTCTTTTCCAGGGTGCGTGGTGAGAACGTCAGAGTATGAATTGGGTATAGTCCTACACTATTGATGCTTACTCAGACGCTTGACCATGCCCCATTACATCACAAAAAAACAACACCCCAAACTGGGTTAGCTCCACGAAATAACAGCATTTTACCGGATAATATCCGATAACATATCACCCGCTGTTAAGGGATTTGTGAATTCAATATGCATTGTGAAACTAGAGTAATCCTAGAGCAGCTTCATTCTGGATACAATTTTAGGTTAAACTCTTACTTATCTAAAATAGATATACGTATGTGCTGTATTCACAGAGTCCACGTATGACACTTACCATCTGTTTGCATGGCTCGAAAAACCCACTCACTTAACACCCATCTACTTCTGTTCCGATTGCCTAGTGCACCCTGTTTCCTGAACCTACATGGACTATGGATTTTAGACTTTCCGAGATAGAGCTTAAATAATCGGGAATATTACGGGATTCAGAGAAGCCTAAAGCTGAATAAAGTTGGCGCTAGGACCTCAAAAATACCGCTACCTGTATCTCTAAGTACAACCTAGGTAAAGACATGTATCGCATATTTATAAAACAGTTTTTAAAATAGTTGATACGTTGTCTACTCTTTACTTATTGTTTATTTCTCTGTGAATCTCACGAGGTAAGAAGAAGAATCATTGAACAGCTATTTTTATTGGACGCGAATCACATGTGTGTTTAGTGAAGCTAAAAGTTATTTTTCCAACAATTATTTTAAACTTTTGGTAAAATGGGAGATAAAATTCGCATTGACCAAAAAAAATACGATGATGCTGACGATTATGAACCTACAGACTCTGAAGCGGAGTATAGTGAGGATGATAAAGAATTGTTGCGCCAAGTTCGAAAAGGTCGTAAACATGAGGTTGATAGCAAAGAAAACGAATTGATGGCATTCGATGAAAGTGATGATGAGGACGATGATGATGATGTGGGCGCTTTAATGCGGAATAGCGATATAGAGGGCGCCGAGAGTGATGATGACTTACCCGATACCACAGATTGGGGCGATAAGAGCCGAAATTATTACAATACCGATTTTGTGGATCCTGATTATGGCACATATACTGCGGAACAAGAGGAGATGGCCAAGGAAGAGGAAGAGGAAGCGAAAAAAATACAAATGCGTTTAGCGAAACAAATGAAAGAAGAGGACTTTTTATTGGATGACACACTTATTTCTGCCGTTAAACCTAAGCCAAAAAATCTAAAAGTGGAAACTGCAGCGACCGAACCAATTGAAGTTAAAGCTGATCTTGCTGGTATTACAAAGCGAGATAAATTAAGATTATTTCAAGAAGACTCACCAGAGTTTGCACCACTTGTGGACGATTTTGAAAAGTATGTGAAAGAAGTGGAACAGATTATAGCACCCGTTATGCTGTACGTGCGTCAAAACAATGTGCCAAAGATACCTGCTTTACAATTTGCAGAGCTCTATCAAAATATAGCGCTCAGTTATTGTTCCAACGTAACATTTTACTTGCTTTTGAAAGCTAAACGTAACGCGGTACGCAACCACCCAGTTACAAAACGTTTATTACAATTGAAAAAACTCATCAAACAGTTGCAAGACAAATACGATAATATAATACGGCCACAACTGGAGGCGTTATTAGAGCGAATTGTAGATGGTGATAAATTCCAAGTATTGGATGTGAGGGATATCGCTGACAGAACGAAATCTAAAAAGAAGACGAAATTGGGTATACTCGAAAAATATGATGAGAAAAGTAAAGTTGATGAGCAGTCTGAAGACAAAGATGATGAAGACAATGAAGATATGGACCTTACTGAAGCGGATCCATATGCGGATGAGGATACGCGTCGTGGCATTACCTATCAAATTGCCAAAAACAAAGGTCTTACACCCGCGCGCAAGAAAGAGTTACGCAATCCACGCGTCAAGCATCGCAACAAGTTCCGCAAAGCTTTGGTACGACGCAAGGGTGCTGTTCGCACCGTACGCAAAGAAACAACACGGTATGGTGGCGAAATATCCGGTATCAAAGCGACGGTCAGCAAGAGTGTCAAATTCAAAGTATAATAATTTCAAAAATTATATTCTTAATTTTTTGTCGAGTAGATAATACGTGGAAAGTGTTGATATAAAACACAAAGTGATTCATACAAAAAATATATTACCTTTTATTTCGTGTTATGGAAGGACAAAATGTAAACAAAGATTAATACATTATTATGGTGCATTGTGTTTTTTTTTTTTTTTTAATTTACGATCTAATCACTGTTTAATTCACAATAGGGTAGGTAATTACTACCGCAATATTATCGGTAGTGGATGTAATTTCATTCATTGACGACAAGCCACACTTATTTGAGTAATAATTTTCGAAAGTCGTCATTTGTTTTGGAAAGAGACGCTCCATTTGTAGCTTTGCTAGTTGCTGCACTAGTGACATTAGTATCTTGCGCAGTGGTAAGTTGTTTACGAACCACTGTTGGTATAAGTGACATGCGTGGCTTTTGATCAAAACCTTTATGTTTTTTGCTTATGCCAAACACTTTGTTGGTATTTATGGCGGTCGAAGCAGGCTTTGGAGGCGGTGCTGAGATTGCTACTGTAATCTGTAAATTTGAATTATTTAATACATGCCAACAAAGTTATTTCTTATATTTGTGCTCACAATATGCGCTCGCAATTCCATTTGATCAGTAGCAAGCACAGCTTTAGCTGCAGCTGATTCTTCTTGGTATTCGATATATGCGATATTTTTGAATTTACCACTTCTGCAAGTACAATTATTTTTTATTATTTGACTTGTAATGAAAAAGCTCTTAAATGCAACGCACTTGTGATATACTAAACGAACATCTTGCAATTTCCCAAATGCGCCAAAAATCTGCTCTAATTCTTCCTTTGTGGTGTCGGAGGGTAAACTTTTCACGAAAAGTTTCTTTGGCTCTACATCGTCTGTACAGTAAGCAAAGTTGTACATTTTGTGTGCACAGCTATAATCTTATATGTAAAAATTTACCTGAATACTTGAATTTCTGTCGCTTTTCCTTGTCGCGCAAAACACTGGATATATACAGCGGCCGACCGTTCAGGGATATTCTATCCATAGCCAACGCTTTCTCTACTTCAACCTAAAGGTAAAATAGAAGTTGTTGCAATCGTTATAAACTAAAATTTTTGATTTTTACTTCGTTTTGCAGTTCTGCATAACCAAACCCTCGACTTTTGCCATTCGCAGAGCGTATAAGCGTCACATTCACAATTTTTAAACTTGGCAAATTTGCACGAATATCATCCTCTGATAAACTAAAATGAAACATTTTTCTAATAACTTTAGTTTTTTCTAAGTAAATGATGGGCTTTGTACCTGTAGTCCAAATTACTCAGAAATATGCGTAGATGATCTTTGGTTAAATCAATTTCCTGATTTTCATGCTCTTTAAATGTTTCGGTCTCAACACGTTTTGGTCCAGGTACTTTGGCACTGCCACCACCTCCACTATTGCTACTAGGTTGTGCATTTTTCTTTAGTATTTCTGACTTCGCTTTCTTTTCAGGCAGCGTAGAGTCAGTCGCCGCGGTTATTTTCCGTTTTAAGCTTCGATTACTTTTGTTAGCTGCCATTGAATCGGATTTCACGGGTAAAACTTCTGTTCGATACTGTAGCTTGAATTCAGCACATTCCTTTATGCAATTACTGAGAGTTTTGGTTGTGCCATTGCAACGTTCGAAGCGTTCCCAAGCTGCGATAATTACCATTGGATTATCAAGCCCAGGTGAATGCAAAGCTTTGCGAAATAATCTACGGAAAAAATATTGGGAATTAAACAGAATATAAAAAAAGTTTGTATAATATAAGTTCATAAAAAAAAACTTACTTCCTCGTGGCTTCCAAGTCTCGTCGAAGCTCTAATTGCGCAAATTCTATCCACAGGCCTGAGCGAGTTGCATTATCGGCACTTTCTACGTTGTTTTAAAGAAAACCGGTTAACCGCTAAAAAAATGTTTATAAAATAAATAAAATACCCATAGCTGTTGTCCAGAGCTCTTTTCCACGTTTAGCATCTTGTAACGGTCCATATTCCAAACGCCCCCACAATTGTAAGATCTCGCAATTGCAATCCGCTAACACACCCCATTGCTGACCGAGTATAGTCCAAGCTAAATTGAAATTCTTACGTAGAATGTCGCACTAAAAGTTTTGAAAAACTCGCATAAATGTAGCTTGGTCCTTAAAATAGGTTAAAAATAAATGTACCTCGTCATCATTCTCGTAATTCGTGTGCCGTCGCAAATACGTTAAATACTCCAACCAGACAGTCACAGCCTGCTCGGCTGTTTGAAAACCAGCTGTCATAGAGCATTCCAAAACTTCCTGCACTTCTTCCCGCGATTTACCCAACTGCTCCAGCAGTAACATATGTTTAACATACAATTTTTCCGACCATGTACAGTTGCGCAACGCCCGCTTATTAACATCAACTGCTGTTTGGCGGAATATAGGTAAATCTTGTAGTTCTTCTGGTCGTCCGTAAGCGTCACGGTATGTGAGAAAGTCGATGTACGTTAACCAGCAATCAATATTTAAGCAGCAAGCAGCCACCATACGTTCATAAACTGTTTGCAACACATTTTCATCAAGAAATTTATCCGATTCTTTGATATAGTTCATATAGACCTCAGCACGTTCGCGATAACACTTAACATCTAACTCTTTGAGTTTATATTCGAAAGGTAAAATTTTGCTCTGGTATTCTTTTGCTTTGAAATAATTTTTATCCAACAATTCCCAACTTATTTCGTGGTTGATGTGTTCTTTGCTCTTTTCATAAAATACTTTAAATTCAATGTAACTCTCTTCCATATTGAAAAGAGGGTACTTCAATTCTTGCAGATAACTCTTGATGTACGCCTCTTGTTTTGCTTCCGCACTACCAAATTATGAGCATAATATAATCTATTTAGATATATATATAATATATTTACCTCATAGCAGGGTGTGCTGATAAAAACTCCCGGTATAGTTTGAAAAACTGTTGGCCCTCAAGGCAATGTAAACCATAAGTTCCTAATAATTCACACCATATTTTGTCGGGATCAGCGCAACGTGGAGCTAATGCTGCAAATTCTAAAGCAATGGCAGTTGCTGAAAAACAATTGAAATTATAATGTAATCTATAAATATAATATCTCCAAATATATTTTAATTAACTTACAATAATAGTCTGCCAATGATTTTCGAAAAAGACCTTCAACAAAATCCATTTCTTTGGGAGATAGAGCTACATTCATTTCAATACTCAAATACTTTAACCACAGCTCTTGCGACAAAGGGTAAACAGCGGAAAACCGGCTATATGCTTCTCTTATGATATCCAGGTCGTCTGTAGTACTGTAAAATAAATTTAAGAGCAATTTTAAATATAATATTCTCAAAGAACAATTGTAGATTCTTACTGTGCTAAATCACATAGTTGTATATATTTATCGTATGCATATTGGTTGACATCCAATTCTTTGCATAACTTTTTATACGCCGCTAGTGCCTTTTCCGAATCGTCCATGTCATCATCATCATCATCACCGCTGTCTTCACTCTCCCCGTGTTCCATTTTTTGTCCAACAGTAACTTCTGATGGTTCGGCTATATCCTCATCACTTAAACTGGCATCATCAATTGTGCCATCTTGTAGCTGCGCAGCTTCATTCATAAGGGAATCTTCGTCCGTGAGTACTGCTGTTGGCGGGGCCAGAGTTCCAATTGCTGGTTGTACTTTTGCTCGCACAGCATCATACTCGTCATCAGATTTTAACAAAGCTTCCTCCTTTAATATAGAAAAGGAAACAAAATTGATATGATAATAAAAAATGCGTACAAAATATTATGTATTTATGTGGTTACTTCTGCTTCATCTATTTCTCCTAATTCGGCATTACTCTCTTTGGCATCTGTTCGCGTATTTTCATTTCTTACACTCATTTTGTTCAAAATATTTATATTTTTACGAAAAACTTCTTTCAATTGAAAATCCATACAAATCGCTAGACAAAAACTATTCTCTTCTTCTTCTTCTTGTCACAATTTTTACAACGTTCACAAACAATGTGGATTAAGATTTTTCTATTCCATTGTGGATGGTATTCGTAAAAAATTAACCACTAAACAACGACTGCTTGGAATACATAAAAGGAAAAAGTGGGTAAGTCTGAATTAGTTCAACTCATTATTAAGCAAATATTAATAAATAAACAAAAATTTTAAGTACTTTGTTGTTTGATTTTGACGTTTTGACTTCATACCATTTAGCAATTTTCCACACTGTTTAAATATGTCCATTTATGTATTTTTAATAAATTAAAAAAATTAAATACTATTTTTGATAATATTTTTAATATTAATATTTTTTTACAATCAATATAAAATGACGTACCATTCTGTTGACCATCTTAAATAATTCCAAAATAAATTTGTTAATATAAGTATGCGTTACAAACTGTAAATATTTTCTTTAGTATGCAAAAACTCACAAGACACCCAATCGAAGGCGATCTGAAGGCAACTATAGCGTATTGTTGCGATGTTGGTGTCTATATTTATCTACTAACCACGCAAGACATACATAACTGTTCCTTGGTCAAGGTTCAGGGTAAACATTCCTTTTTAAATACCGTAATCGCAGATCAAAGTCCAATTTTCAAATTCTTAAAATATTTTTTACCTCTAGAGTTCATTTTAGTTGAAATTATTGGCCAATCTTTTAGAAATGTAAGCTGGACTATTGTGATTATGTTACCATTGTAACCATGATGCGTTTTTTTTAAATAGAAATCCAAATTTTTTAGCTCATTGACATTTTATTACATAATTTAACATACAATAGTTTCACATTGCTTCTTTAATTTTTTTAATTGCATACCAGATGCACTTTACATTGGTTAAATTACAATAAAGTTAAGTACATTACAATTTTTTTTAAAAACCTCTGTTATAAATATTTAAAATTTTAATTTTATAGTTTTCATTTACATTACAATCATCTGTCTCATTTAACTTTAGCCATTTTAGACATTTTGTACTCCAACTCCATTTCATCAGCTCCTGAAAAACGATCGATCTTACGTCCATTTCTGATAAATACAAACGTGGGCATACAAGATACTCGATAATCATGTGCCACATTGCTACACTTGTCCACGTCCACTTTTAGCACAACTGCTTTGTCCTTATATTTGCGCGATAGCGCTCTGACTTTGGGTTCAATACTCTTGCAGGGACCACACCAGCTGGCCGTGAAATCGACAACCACCAAACGGCCGCCAGCGGCCGACAATTGTCTATCAAAATCAGCATTACTTCGGACAGTGTGCAACATTTTGTTTTTTTAATTTTTTTTAAATCGTCGTTTAGAGACAAAATAATTTATAAAAAAAAACTTGTACAATACAAACAAAATTACAATGAAATAAAGACCAGTATCTTATTAATACAACTGGAACGTCTTAACACTTCGTGAGCTTTACTAAAAGTAACCTTGCATTTAATTGCATTATTCTAAAATACCAAATTTAGGATACAGTTTGTTGCTTAACGGTTTTATTTAAATGCATACATGCATATCTGCATGTACAAATGTGTGTATGTTACAAATAATTTAAAAAACAACAAATGTTTAATATACATCTTCACCTTAACTGTATTTGTACAATGTTTTTTTTTATATATGTATGTATATACATATATATATTTTTTTTTCGTATACATGCATACATAAGTATGTATTCAACATATAGCGGCATATGTAACTCCCGGTGTAAATTTGAAAGTTTATTTGAGTTGTTATTGTAGCGAATTGTTATAAAAATAACAAGAAAATACCCTTTACAAAAAGACCCTTTACAAAAGATTGTCATCCAAGAACTTGATTTTGATCCTTCATTTTGCATGTGTGTTATATACTACAGAAAAGACTAAGTTTACTGCAATCTCGAATAAGTTGTCTCTATGTATCTATGTATATGTACTTAAGTATATTGGCATATTTATTTAATAAAAAACTGTCAAAATAAGATTTAAAAATTTTATTCGTTATTTTATAATTGTCTTTTAAATTGAAAATAAATAAAATTTAAATGGCTTCTGGTCAAACGCCTAGACCTATATCCAATACGGCACCAGCTACAGCGGGTAGGAATCGACAACAACCAACTCCAATCCCACCATCAACGACAACAGCTCCTCCAGTTGCAAATATCACAACCACCACCACACAAGCTCACGTAACACCACCGACTCCTCCAACAACGCCTATAAGTCGTTCACCACAGCCAACACCTCAGCCATTAGCAAGTACCGCAGGACAGCCCACACAAGTACACCCAATACCTAGAATCCATCCATTACCCCCAGTTACGCCGCCAAACACTCCTGCTGGAGAAAACGTAAATGAATTGATAATAATAACCGAAAGTGCTACCTACAATAAACTTTTGAGTGATGTGGGGAATAAATATTTACTAGTTGAATTTTATGCACCATGGTGTGGAGCTTGTATGCTTATAAATAGGAAACTTGAAGAACTTTCAGTATCATATTGTGGTAAATTGATCATAGCGAAGGTTAATATAGATGATTGCGAACAAATCGCTCTTGACAACAATGTCAGCATGATGCCTTCGTTTATATTGTTAAAAGATAATCAAATTTTGGAAAAGTTCGCCGGAAGCAGTGAAGAGAAGTTAGTGAGCATTATACAAAAAAATGTGGGAGACCCAACGAATGTCGTTAGTGACCCACCAATGACAAATCCAACAACAAATCCAACAACGACAGCTGGACAAGCACAGCTAAGAATACCTATTGAATCGACGGCACAAATGGCTCAAGCTTCCCCATTGGCGCCAACTTAAACGGTATAGAAACATTTTCAGTAATAACGATTATGTTTGAAGCGCTGATGTTAATAATGTTGTACATTTCATGTTATTAAATTTTCTTTGATCAAACTACACTTTGCTAAAAAAAACAAAAAATTGCTCTTTAAATTCACAACCACACTGTTGAGATTTTTCTGTTAAAGGGCTGAAAATATTGAAAATAAAAATTCCTGTCTTTCAAACAAAAATTCACAAAAATTATCTCTGAAAAAGCAAACAATTTGACAGTACTTCACTCTCACGCCTCGAAATCATGGTGTATATTGTACAAAATAAAGAAGATCTGGATAAGAAGCTGGAGGAAGCCGTTGGCTCTGGCCAATTGGTGGTAATTGATTTTTTTGCAAATTGGTGTGGACCATGTAAGATTATTAGTCCGAAACTAGAAGAGTTGGCCACACAATATGCCGAGAAAGCGATTGTGTTGAAAGTCAATGTGGATGATTGTGAAGACATAGCCCTTGAGTACAACGTGACCAGTATGCCAACATTCGTTTTTATCAAGGATAATCATGTTATTGATGTATTCGTTGGCGGCAACTCAGAGAAACTGGTCAAGAATATGGAGAAATATGTAGGCGAACCAATACCCGTAGAAAATATGCCAGAAATTGTGGAAGCCGAACAAATAATCGAGGAAGAAACTGTCCTTGACTAAAGAAATAATAGTATTAGATTTGTTTTCCTGAAATCAATATACATACTTATCATGTTTTAAATTAACAATCACTTACTCAGGTACTTTTTCTTTGCAAATGAAACATATTTTTTTTTTACACATTCCACTGCCAAATTGGCATTTACTTAATTTCCATAAGAAATATGGTACATTTCAATGTACTATGTAACTTCAGATTATCAGAAGATTCACCCTCACATGTTATTGTGCAAGTTATGTACTATTATATTTTATAAAAGTAAATTGAAATATGTATTCAAAGGGATATTGAGGATAACTTTAATCAATTCATTATTTAATTAATTAATATTGATTTATTGATCCATTATATTAAATTCTAAATATAAACGAAATTTTTGCACATAATCGAGCACAACGTGTGAGGGTAGCCATAAAGAACACTAGTGCTATATTAAATTTAAATATATAGATCGTAAAGATACCCTCAAGCCTGTGATCGGATTTTCACTTTTTGGCAAATGTGATCTTCATAGCATGTGAAGGCGTTATTTTGAAACCTTGCAGCGCCTCTTTGGCAGCGTTACTTTGCAATTCGGTGGCAAATTCTACGAAGGCAATATCGTGACGATTTGGAACCAAACGCACTTCCTTGAAACCAGGGAATTGATTGAATAACATAGAAAGCATCATTTCATTTGTTTCCTCTGGCAAATTGGTGAGGAAAAGAATTTGATTGGGTGGTTGTTCAGTTTGTGTATTAGGATTCGTATTTTCTGCATTTGCCGCCTTCTTCTTTTTATCCCTGCAAAACAAAGATAACATACATCGTAAAGCATCATTTACAGTAAGCTAATAGTATGTTTACTCACTTTTTATCCTCTGTGGCTTGTGCCGGCTTTGGTGGTTTAACCTTCTTTGGACGCTCTTTGAATGTACCTTTTATTTTGGCCACTATATCACTATCGGTCTTAGAATAAGCGATGCGCATTGGTTTGTCATAGAATGGAAATCCCTGCATTGTTCGTAGCGCATTCGACGCACTTCCGATTTCTTTAAAAATTACAAACGCCTGACCACGCATTTTGAGCGTTTTTAGCGCCACTATATCTAGTATTTGTCCAAATTGTGAGAAAATGGCGTACAGTGATTTTTTCAGTTCCTCCTTCTTAATCTTTTCATTTAGATTGTTAATGTAAATTGTTTGATTCGGACGAACATCCATTTTTATAATAGTTTAATTAGAATTTATTAAACAAATTGTGCAAAACGTTGCTAATACGAAAACTAAAAATCCTAATTTTGACGTTCCCTTTTACCAGCGCAGCGTTTTATGATAGTGTTTGTGTATATAGAAAGAACAGTGTTGCGCCTTTATACAACTTGTAACTATAAAGGTCCCCAAAAAATCCCGTCCTCTAAAAATTAATATGTTGCGAAATTCTTTTTTAATAAGTTTCAATTATTACTTTTAATAATTTTTATTACTACTTATTTTCTGTTGTTACTTAAAAAAGTTAGGTTGTTGAAAATATATAAAACGGTTTTTGGTTGGAAACGTTTCCAATCTGTACTTTTTTCTACAATTCATTCACAATAGCGGCTGAAAGATCTTGTACAAAATATTTTTATTTGCGTTTAAGTATGTGTGTATGTGCATCACTGCAATCTTTTTATTTTTTGTTGTTCAATTACTTTGCTTTTCGTTCTTTCTTTTATAATTTTTAACCAATTTTAGATTTTCTGTTAGTTTTGTAAAATAAAATTGAGTGAATAACAATAAATAAGAAAATTTAATAGAAGTTTTTGATTGGTGTGTTGGCATTTTCATGCTATAAATCAAAATGTCGAAAAATAAAACAAATTTAATGGCGACCGGAGAAACAAATCTAATCGAAGTGAAATCAAAGGTGAACCAGTGAAATGGATGAAATGAAAATAATTGCTATCCATAGCGATTTAAAATCGGAAATATTCTGTATAGAATATAAATTAAATATTTTCTTAATTTGGGAATTCCTATTATATAAAAATAGAGATATGTGGTTATTGACATCGCTTAAGCAAACAAGGTATCGTAGGTGATTCATAATAGACCCATTGCCAACTTCCATGCCGCTACCGTCGCTAATCCCATCAATACCTACTATTTAATCGAGCTCTGCTATTTATGCTGCAACATGCCGCAGTTAAGTTTGACATTACATATCCATAAATGTACTGTACGTTTACTATCATCAAATATTTCATTATGAAGACGCAACAGGCGTCCAATCCCTTACTGGGATAGTTCGATCTTCAATTTAATTTTAAAATTTTTTATTTAAGCAGCAAAGTATAGAAGTGTTTATAGGCATAGTTCCTATGGCAATTGGGTGCACAATGTCATGTGAAACGTGACCTCGATTGAGTTCAGCGGTTTTCATTACTGCACTTGTACCGAGTGTATAGAATCCATTACCATGTATTACATATTAGGTGTGTAACTGCGTGCAAAGAGGGAGTGTTTCGATAATTTACATTACTAATTAATTTATTCATTGTGCGAATTCCACATTTTCCTTAAAGGGCTATGCAGCTAGTGTGTTTTGTGTACGCATTTTGTCGCTTTTTCTAACTTGTAAGAAAATTCTATGAAAATGCTTTTCAGCAAAACGTAATCTCATAAAAAATATATACTTGTATACATATATATTACTAGTTTGATGCCGAATTCCGCCGCTGGAGCTTTAAACGGCATGGCGAATTGCAAAATTTCGAAGATTTCTCTACCCTTATTGAGAAATTGCATAGACTACACACACTACAGTTTATTATTTTATACATTGACCCACGTGATAATGATCTGTTGCCAATTAATAATGATGACAACTTTGGTAGAGCGCTGAAAATTGCCAAACCTTTGTTGCGCATCATCGTTCAACGTAAAGGTAAGTAACTTAAGTTATTTTGCTTTATATATATTTATTAAACATTTTATTTTAAACTAGATGATTTGGAAGAGTTTCCCGGTTTTGGCACAATGAAACCGCGCAATAATCTAATCAGCAGTATACTGGGACAGACTCCTGTCAAAACAAAACTACCAACAATATCAATACCACATGATTTCCGACAAGTATCGGCTATAATTGATGTTGATATTGTGCCAGAGACGCATCGACGTGTGCGTCTACTTAAATATGGTAGCGATAAGCCTTTGGGATTTTATATAAGGTAAAATCTTAAATTATATAAACAGCTAATTTTTGGGTAAGATATGTGAATGAAACTCGATAATTTGAAAAAAAAAAAATCTGTTGCAAATATTACATTTTTACAAATGTCCACACACACACACAGTGCACAATTTATTTTATTTCTTGAAATGAGTCCAATTATCGAGTTTCGACTTAATAGCATTCTTAAATTCTGTGAATATATATTTTTTCCATAGAGATGGTACGTCTGTGCGCGTAACCGCAAATGGTTTAGAGAAACAACCTGGTATTTTTATATCGCGCCTCGTGCCTGGTGGGCTTGCTGAGAGCACAGGACTTTTAGCAGTCAACGACGAGGTAATAGAAGTAAATGGTATTGAAGTGGCTGGTAAAACACTGGATCAGGTACGGCATAATTTCAATTGACAATACATTTAAAACAACCTTTTATTTAGGTCACCGATATGATGGTGGCAAATAGTTCTAATCTAATAATAACGGTGAAGCCGGCAAATCAACGTACACTTACCTCACCACGCCGCGGCTCATTCTCGCGCAACAGTCAGCTATCGAGCGGTTCACATCATACCAATCAAACCAATACATCAGATGAAAATGAACAAGATGAGCAAGATGAAGTCGTCGATCTGACCGGCATAACACTCGATGATCACAACAATGTAGCCCCACAGCCACAACAATCAACGGTGCCATCACCGGCACTGATAATTACGTCACAACATCACCAGACGTCATCAACAGCCTCAACAATTGTCGGCGGCAGTGAATCCAAAGACGGAGTACTACATCTATGAATTGAATATGAAGCGGTATAGTAATTAAAACAAACAAAGAATGACGCAAAAGACAAAGATGTTATGGTAAAGGACAAACGGAACTTTCAGGTCGAACAAAGCGGAAATGCATAGTATATAGTACATGCAAAATGAATATATTTTGCACAGAGTTTCCGGGTCTATAAAAATATAAGCAATCTTAGGCATAACAAAAAGACAACACATATATACACACAAATTTTCATGCTTCACTTTTCATTTTATTTCTATTATATACTTAAATAGTACTGTTTAATTATAAATTAATGTGTAAAGTGTAATGTTATCAATGCGTTTGACGTTTTCGTCGTATTGTTTTCATTTATTGTTTACAAATTATATACGTCAACGCATTTTAACTAAACATGCTGTATTATTAGGTACATATACACATATTTACATATCTACGTATGCATTGTTAATATTTTTAATCATGTTTTTTTTATTGTAGTTGTCCTACTTATTTTCATATACACATTCACTTACAGTTAAATCTAGTGTAAACTTGTCTGTTAAACGTACAATGTGTTTGGTAAAAATTGCTCGTATATAACCCATCAGTGTTAATTTACAGTTACAATGCAGCTACACATTCCAAAAAGAAAAAAAAAACGAATTCTGTGGTTTTTATGTAACATAATTGGTGCAAAACTTTTTGTTTGCACTGTATGTGAGCGTGGATGATTTACACGAAATTCCAATTGTGTAACTGAACAATGTGTTCCATTAAATTTCAAAAAAAAAAATTGTTGAAAAGAAAAATTTATTTTAAGCCATGATTCAATTATATAAGGGTATGTCTTTAGCCCACAAACTTTTTTTATGATGTCAAAATCAGCTGTTTTGCTTTGTTTTTGTGGTACAAATATATATTTTTCATATATGTATTCTAGCCAATGGAAATGTGATTTTTGAGTAATAAATTAAAAATCACACATAATCCATAAACAAAATTATCATCAGAAAATTCTAAATAATATTTGACATGGATTAAAAATTATTTTCGTTAGAAGTAAGCTCTCAAGTAACGCAACCTTATATAATTGAATCATATTTTAAGCCTTGACCCAAATACATATAAAGTAACTAATTTAGGAAGGCAAAAGAAAATAATTTACCGTCTCTGCTAATTTGAATCCTATTCGCTCGTTACATTTAGACAGTCAAACAGTATATAGTGCGAAATAGTCACAAAACCGATTTTTTTTAACAAATCTAACGCAAATACGCAAATCAGAACCCTAGTATACATACTTCTCTAAGAAAAGTCGGTTTATTGTATGCAGAGCGTTTTGAAAAGGGTATTTCGCAAACCTTAATCAATATTCCTATATACAAAATTTTTTCTCAAAGTTTTAAAAATTATTTAAGTTTATTTGTATGTATACATCAAAAAAGCTTTTTTTTATATTAAATCTCAATGGCCTTCAAATTAGCTAACATAATTAGCAACTAGAATATTCAAAACAAAAAAAAAACAAAAACTAAGAGTAAAACATCAATTTGCATGTGTCTTATAGTCTATTAGCAAACTAAAGTACTTATACAATACTATACGTCCTATATATATACACATACATACCAGTATACAACAACTAAGACGGTTCAGTCCTATTTTATGCTCGTCCACTAGTAGTTAGATACATACAAATACAACTTTTAACTTACCCAAACTATTGAATGAAAAAGTTGTCAAATATTTTAGAGCAAATAGCAAAGCACTCAGAAGACTTGTCAATTTATGCCTTCATATTTGATGTTTTTAAAAAAAAAAAAAAAAAAAAAAAACACCAGCAAGAAAAATCTAGAAAAGAGCAGTTTACCTATATCGATAAAAAGTAAAGATAAAACAAGTTATGCAATCTTCGAAACACACTTTTAACAAATATTTATTTTAAATTTTGAGCTTAATAATTGTCAGAGTCGAATAATGGTATAATAAATATTTCTTAAAATAAGTACATACATACACATTTTATACATAAATAAATACACACAAATATGTAGTATAGTTCTACAATTGCATTAAGCGGCAAGTGGAATTGTATTTTTGTTTAATAAAGCCTCGTGATGGCATCCAATATTGACTTGACGTTAATATTTCATTAACACATTGTAAAGACGTTTATAAATAAGTAAAGATGGGCTAAGGGTGTAACCGAACATTTTGTATTCTTGCAACTTGCAAGGATCAAAGCCGGTGAAATACTTTTAGGTGTAAAAGGTTTGTTAGTTCAAAGGGAGTTAAGGCCGCTATATGTAGTATAAAGCCAACTTGAAGTTCGAAAATCTTTATTCTCTTTATTACAACCCATTTTTGAAACAAGAGTATACTATTATAAATAAAACCTATTTTCCCCAAACTCATCTTCTATCTCACTTGTTGACTCATATTTTCGGCGCAAAGAGCGTCACACGCACTGGGGTTTACGCATTTGGTATATGGGGGCTTGAACAGTTACAGTACGATTTTGACAATTTTTAATCTGTAGACGGGGTACCTCAAAGACACTATTTGTCTAAAGTTTTACCTGAATATATTCATTGATGTTTGATTTGGGTACTGGATAGTGAAAGAATCAGTTGGAATTGAAAATCGTAACATATGGGAAGTAGTTGTGGTTGTATTCCGATTGCGCTCATTTTCACAATGTAACATAGGATCACCAAAATAAAGATAAACGTAAACTGATTTTTGGTTGAGCGGACAACGCTCAATTTTTTTTTGTATTTTTAGTCCAGAAGAGCTGCCACTTCTATTATCCTCTGTAGCAAGAGTATGAAAACGATTACAATTCAAGCTCCTATGGCGTCAGTTGATTATCGATTAACTTTTTTATAATTCAGTAATATTTTCGAATGTTATGTATCAACTTTACGATGAAAAAGTAGATAACTTCAAATGCACTAATTAGAGAGCAGCCCACAAAAATGCCAATGACTCCACCAATATTTGCTACAAAGAAAAAATACATACAAAAATAGAAAATCAAAAGAAACCATTAAAAGCATCTTTAAAGTCAAGAAAGCAAAGTAGATTTGATATGAATCACCACTGTTATTACTTACATAAAATTTCTAACCAATTGTAGAGTGAGCGTTTTGCATATAGTATAGCGTACGTAGAATCAAAATAGATTCTCACAATACTCAGATCATCCGTATGTTTTATCAAAGCGACTCTAAACAGAATAAACTATTATGAACAAGTAAGGAAGGGCTAAGTTCGGGTGTCACCGAACATTTTATACTCTCGCATCAAATACCGTATTTGTGTAAAGTTTTATTCCGCTATCATCATT